GCTCGCGCCGCCGAGACACTGGGTGGGCGTGTCCGTGGGGGGCGGGGAGCTCTGGCTGGCGCCGGCCCCACCCAGCACCGAGGGGCGGGGCCCGGGCTCGCGCTCGCGTCCCTGGCGAGCCTGTGGGCGCGCTCCCCTCGCTCCCCTTGCTCCCTAGGTCCCCGCGCTTCCCTCGTTCCCGAACCCGGCCGGACACTACTCTTAAATCCGCGGCGCGGGCGGCAGCCAGCCGGCCCGGTCCTCCCCTCCCCCGCCGTCCTCTCGGCAGCAACAGCTAGGCCAGCGGAAACTCCGCTTTTCCGGGGCGCGGCCCCGGCCAGGAGGGGGCTGCCGCGGGAGCGCGCTTCGGGGCCCTCGGATTCCCCAGAGCCCGGCAAAGCCCACGTCGCGCCAGCCTACCTAGCCGCCCCCCCCACCCCACCCCCGCTCTGCGCCCCGGGGTTTCTTCACGACCTACAAAGGGAACCGTGGCGACCCAGTGGTCGGCCCGCGCGCCTGTGGGCTGTGAAGTTCCCGTCTCTGCTTCTCTCCACCATAGGCGCGTGGGCTCTGAGACCTAGAGTCCAGAAGGCCCTGCCTGGCAAGGGTGAAAGAAATATAATGCTAAGCCCCGGACCATTAGGAGCCACCCTTCCTCCTTTTCTGTCTTACTGCTCCCCTCCCCCAAGGAAGGATTCTAGAGTTCAAGCCCCTTCATCCCTGCCCTCAATTTCTTCCACCTGTAATATTTTCTCTGCTTTCACCGTTTACTTAATCTCTAACATTCTACTCCTCCCAAGACTTAGCTCAATCAACTGCCACGTCCAACATGGGTTCTCCCACACTACACACCCCCTCCCTCCGCCCCGCCCCCCCAGCCATCCATCATCTCCAAAACCATCTTCAAGTCTCCTGACATGGGCACCTTGGTTGGTGCACTTTGGGCAAAGCAATACCAGTAGTACAACAGCAGAATGACTTCTCTCCTCAGCACCCAGCAAATACCTGTTGGGCCCCTAAAGTCCAAACTTGTCTAGCCTGTTGGGAAGACTTCTTGGGACCAGAGGACTAGAACCTGGAGAAAGCAAGCCCCCCACCCGCCCACCCACCCACATCTAGAGACTGGGTGACTGAAACCACTCAAGAGTTCACACGGACTCAGGACAATCAAGATTTTGAGTTGTGTTCTCTCCTAGGTATGGACTTGGGACTCCTTTGGCCACAGGTCTATTAAGAAGGCCTGACCTGGCCTACTTCCCAAGCCCACTGCACTTCCTCAGCCCAGCCAGGGTGCTAAGCTGGCTATTTTTAGTCCCCAAGGACAAAGTAGTAAGGTCAAACCAGACCTAGAGGTACTTCCCGGAGAGCCCTCTTACAAAAGCAGGCAGTGGTAAGACACAATTTCAGCCTGGCTTTGAATTTATCACCAGTTTCAACTGCAACATCTGATCCAGGCGCATGCCCCTGGTCACTGAGGCAGCCCTGAAGTTGCAGAAAAAGCCTGTTTTAGTCCTTTTGCACGAGGGGATTAAAAGATGAAGGAGGATCAGAAGGGTTACATATGCATCTCTTTCCTTGGGAAACAGCTTTATTTACAAAACAGGTCTAAAATAAGAACATGAAATGACGAGCCCTTGGGAATTGTGGGAGAGCTGGCTCTTGGGGACCATGTGTGAAGCCCAAGCATCCAGACAAAGGGCCTAAAGGAGGGCCAGATGTGTGAGGGGGACCTAAAATTTGAACTCTTTATATTTCTTGCTGCCCCCGCGGCTGTCCTGGGGCTGAGCTTTCCGTTTCTTTTGCTAGAGGAGAGAAAGAGAAACAGGTTACAACAGGTGAAACAACCCACTGATCCCCAAGACAAGGGTGGGCAGCCTGACTCAGCCACATGGATCTGTGGAGAAAGTGCTAAAACTGGATTCTCAGACTTGGATCAGTTCCCCTCCCTGTGCCTTAGTTTCATCATCCTTAAAGAGGGCAGCCCACCGGAGGATTTCTAAGGTTTCCAGCACCAGGGAAGCTCAGGGCAGCAGACACTGAGTGCACCCTCATTCTCATATTAGAGGACACCACGCCACTGAAAATGGAGTCCCTGGTACCTAGTCCCTGGCTCACACCCAGCTGGGTTCCCCTGTGACCTCCTACCTTCTGTTTGGCAGCATGCTCGGCCACCATGTCACTAAAGTCTTCCTTCTCCACCTGTGCCTGCTGCTCCCGCACATGCTCCTCATACTTCTGGGTCATGGCCATGGGATCCAGCTCCAACTCTTCAGGTGCCAGGGCCACTTCCACACCTTGTAGCTCGGGAGCCGGGCCCTTCCTGCTCATCACCTGGAAAAGGGATCAGAGTCTTGTCATCTACAGAGAGGCTTGGAAGACTTCGTTTCTGCCCCCTTTCCCAGCCCCCAAAAGAGTGCTCACTGTGGACATGTCATAGATGTGGGTTGATCCCATCATGGCTCCCCCAACAGTGGCCGTTCTCTTCTCTGGTAACACAGTGAACAGCTGAGGTGTCTCACTTCTGCAAAGGACAATGCAGTCAGGCCCAAAAAGGAAGGGACATAAGGGTCTCCAGAAGGGGAAGCAAAGAGAACACAGCAGCACCTCCACCCAGCTCCCAGAGGAATTCTAAGACACCCAAAGGAAAAATGATGCCTAGGCTGCCTCCGCGGGTCGTAAAGACCCATGAGAGGAAAGGACTGGGTCAGTGGAGAGGGGGGTGGAGCAGTGCTGATTCCAGGAAATACAGCCTGGAAAGAATACAGGGACTGAGTTAAAGGATCCCCTGAACCAGGTTTAGGAGATCAGAAACTAAGATTCCCACATGTGAAGAAGGGCTAAGGGTCAGGCTGAAAAGTTTCCAAAAGAACTCTGGTACAGAGAAGATGGCAGGAGAAAAGAGACGACAACAGCTCCTGCCCAAAGTTGTACCTGGAGTCCTAACATAGAGAACTCAAACTTCCAGTACTTCTTACGGCGCAAGAACCATCTGAGCCAGTCTCGCCATGAATTTCAATGATTCCACTCAAAACACAAGAGCAAATCTACCAATACCAACCCAGACCTCTCCCCACCTCTCCCGCTGGAAGAGGTAACAATCTATTCTCACATAGCGGCCAGAGTTAACACCTTAAAACAGTTCAGATCCTGTCATTCCTTTGCTCAAAATCCTGAGGCTTCTGATTATTTGAATAAACCCAACCTCCCTACATGATCTAAAGGGTTCACAATCTGGTCCCTTACTTAATCCCTGTTCACTATACTCCAACCACATGACCCTTCCTCCTTTTCTTCCTTGAATATGCAAAGCTTGAGACTTCTGCAGAAGGAGTAACAGGGACCAGATTTAGCCTCCCACCTGAAACAACCAAAAAAAAATGGGCAAAACACATGAAACAAAGATCTTCCAGTCACTGGACAGGGGGTAACAAAGGAGAGTAACTCGTGAGACAGGAAACAAATGAGGCGTGTCCTTCAGTTACCCTGCCGCCTGCATTGAGAAAGTCTGCAGGCCACAGAACAAGGAGAGGGAACCCAGGTAGAGCCCAGAGGACTCTAGTCGACGGAGTTGAAGGGATGAAGCTGAAAGACCAGAGAGACCAAGGCAGCTAGAGATCACAAGGCAGAGTCCTAGAGAAGAGACAGCAGCACAGAGACTTGAGAACTCAGGAGACCTACAGAGGGTCCTCCTCAGTACTCAGGTGAGTAAAGTACCAGAGCCGGGGAAAGAAGCACCCAAAAAGACTAGTGGTAACAATGCCTGCTGCCCACATGGGCCTGGGAATAGTGCCTAACTCACTAGCCTGATTAAAAATCCTGATTAACAGGGTACTGGGTAGAGTATACAGAACGTCCTGTGCCTAGTAGGAGAGGGGACTGCACACCACTTCAGTCCTGCCTCAGGAACCTGAAAAGCAAGACCTGAGAGAATCAAACTGTTTCCAAGTACCTTAACTGTGTGCCTAAACAAACCTGAACAAGATTTATAGGAGTACAAAAGAACCCTGCACCCAACAAGGTGAATTTTACAAAGTCTGGCTTTCAATCAAAAATTAACAAGCATGTGGGGTGCTTGGGTGGCACAGTCCGTTAAGTGTCCAACTCTTGGTTTCGGCTCAGGTCGTGACCTCAGGGTTATGAGATCAAGCCCCGAATTAAGATCTATGCTCAGCGTGGAGTCTGCTTGGGATTCTCTCTCTGTGTCCCTCTGCCCCTCCCGCTCCCGCTCGTGCTCTCTCTCTCAAATAAATGAATCTTTAAAAGGAAAAGAAAAAAAGATATTTTCAAAATGAACAGAGCATCAGTGAGCAGGAGGGCAGCTTCAAGAGATCTAATACATATATAATTGGAGTTGCCAAAGGAGAAGAGAAAGCAAAGGAAAAAGAAATGTATTTGGAGAGGGGCACCTGGGTGGCTCAGTCGGTTAAGTGTCTGTCTCTTGATTTCGGCTCAGATCATGATCTCAGGGTTGTGAGATCAAGCCCCATGTTGCGCTCCATGCTGGGCATGGAGCCTGCTTGGGATTCTCTCTCTCCCTCTTCCTCTGCCCCCCCCACCCCAAAATAAAGTACTAAAAGTAAAAAACTACTGTCAACCTAGGATCCTGTTCCTGACCAAAATCAAAAATCTTTCAAAAGGACATTTAAATAAAACAAACCAAAAAAATTAAAATAAAATAAATCTTTCAAAAGGACAAATGAAGTAGTTTTTAGACTGCCAACACTGAAAAAATTCATGACCAGCAGACCCACAACAAGAAATGCTGAAGGATGCCTTTCCGGTGGAAGGAAAATGCTACCAGATGGAAACCTGGATGTACACGAAGAAATTAAAGAACACTGAGAATGGTAATTAGATGAGTTAATATAGGACTAATTATTCAAATCTCTCTAAAAGATAAAAAAAAAAAAGGACAACTGACCATTTAAACAAAAATAACCACATGTGTAGGATTTACAACATGTCAAAGTAAAAAGCATGACAACAGTGCAAAGGTTGGGAAGAGAGAAATGGAAGTATACTGCTGTTAGGTGCTCACTACTCCCCAGAAGTGGCATTATCACCTGAAGGTAGATTGTGATAAAGATGGATACTATAAACCCTACAGCAACCACTAAAAATAACAAAACAGAGCTTTACAGTTAATAAGTCAACAAAGGAAATAAAATGGAGTCATAAAAAAGAATGTTCAATTAATCTAAAATGTAGGCAAATGGCAAAATGGAACAAAGAACAGAATGGGCAAAGAGAAGATCACCTCAGGAAAAAGGGGTCAATTCATCAAGAAGACTTAACAATACCATACATTTACATACCTAATAAGAGAGTTTCCATTGCAAGACTATGAGAAACCCATGCCCGTCTTAGGCACTTACAGCTCCTTCTGCGCTGGATCACCCTGTGGTTAGATCTTTCCTAACATTCAGCTCTCGGCTCAGATAGCTCAGTGAGACCTTCCCAAAGACCTGCCCACCACTCAAATCCCTCCACATCCCATTACCTAGTTGACTTTGCTTCACCATCCTACCCCTATCTGAAATCAGCTTGTTCTCTGATGAGCTGCTTACCGCAGTGCCTGGCACAGAGCTGCTGTTCCGTAACTGGTTCACAAGGTGGGGGAAGGGGGTAATGAGTCAGCTGGCCGACCCAGAGGCTGAAGGGAAGAGAAAGACCTTCTCTCTCAGCCCTGCCTGGTTCTCTCACCCGTCCATCGCTTCCTCGATCTTCTTCTTCCTCAGCTCAATGAGTTCAGGGGTCTCCATTCCAGCCGGCACTGACGAGAACCCTCCAGGAGTGATGAGGCCACTTCGAAGAGAGAAACAAGCTCTGGAGTAAAGAGAAGGCCCCCAGTGACAGACCACTTCAGAGGCAGACTCTGCTCTCCCCACCTGTCTGCAGGGGTAATAAAGCCTGTCTCATCTGGTTTGTCCTCATCACTTTCCTCCTCTTCCTCTTCTTCTGAAGACTCTTCATCAGATGGCTCCAGCTCCCCCCAAGGGGTCCTATCAATCTCTTCTTCCTCAGTCTTGGTCTGAAAGAGATCATTCGTTCATTCAGCAAATGTTTTCTATATACTTATAATGTGTCAAGTTGTTGCAAACTGAAGGGATATAAAAGTAAACAGACAATAATCTCTGCCTACAGAGAGCTCATATTCTAGGGGGAACTTGCATCAGTCACATCTCAGGAAAGTGCATGCCCTTTTTCAGACTTTGAAACTTCCGAACACCCAGCTCCCTGATAATGAATCTATAAACCAACAACCTCTACACTTCATGACCTGAAGTAAGACAGCCATGGCCTATACCTGAAATTCAGCAGCATTGGTTCCAAACACATCCCCATAGAGTGGTTTCCCAGTCTCATCTACTGGGGGTTTGCCCCAGCCACCAGCATGGTACCCAAAGGAACAGCTCTGCAAGAGACCAAATGCAAGTCAGTTCCACTACTAAGCTCCAGAAACACTACAAAGTACAGAATTAATGCTTGGTAACTCTGGAAATTATGATTTCAGAGAAGAATTAAATGTATTACAAAGCAAAAGTAGTAGCAACAGAAATCCAGAGGCAATAGGATGGGGAGATGGGAGGCAGAGAGTCAACTGATAAACCTCAGCCTTCCTGGTAGGGTGCATTATGTCTGAAAATAAATCAGGTACTTTTAAAAACAGGATGCTTCTTACTGATTTTTCCTAACTTTGGGAAGCTTTTAAGATCTATTTCTTTAAAGGGACAGAAATTTTTACCTGAAGTTTAACAATTACTTCTTTTTCACTTTAATGACTTTGCTAGCCATTAAAATTTTTTTAAATCAATGCTCCATATTTAAAAATAAAAGCATAATGCCATTCTTGAGATAAAATTATTTCTATCTGTCCAGCCATGTATATATCAGAATGTCTGGAAACACATTCACCAAATTTTAAATCTGGTTATTTCTGAGTGGTGAAATAACAGGTGATTTTTTTTTCACCTTTGTAAACTGTCAATTCTCATTGACTGTTTTATGGTGAGCATGTCAGGTTTTTTAGCACACAAAAACTACTTTTTTTTTTTTTTTTTAAAGAGAGACATGGTGGGTGGCATGAGAGAAGAACAACAACAAAAAAACAAAACGAAAAAAAACCCATCCTCTAGTTAAAAAGCAGAGGCAGATAAGAATGAAAGGCCAGTGTTCACCTCGGGGATGGGCGAGTTCAGCCCAGGAATTTTCAGGTTGGGGTACGACGGGGGTGGTCCATATCGCTGCATGGCAATCAGCCACGGGGGAGGGACCTTGTGAGCATTCTGCAGGAAAAAGAGAACAGGATACCATCTGCCCAACCCTGTCCTTTGTCTCCCTTCTGCCCCAATTCCCACTCTCTTCTTGGCTTCCCCAGTCAGGTAACTGGCACTCACTGGTCCTACTGGCATCCCAAGGGAAATCCTTAGCTCATCAGACAGATCTCCTGGCTTCTTCTCCTTCAGTCGTGTCTCAAACTCTTTCCCCTGAGAAAAAAACAGAGCACACTGTATTATGAATGCCAGACACACACTGGGAATTCAATGGCAAGAGAATAGGGGAACAAAGATGAGAAGTCCCAATCCACACCAGATACAAAATCCCACTGAGAGCTGCCCTAGTGCCTGTTGATTCTCATCACTCCTTTCCCTGGCTAGAGTAGGAAAAGGAATAAAGGCCACGAAGGAGGGGAGAAGCAAGACTCCCAGTGCTAACATTAACCCACTAGAAGAATATGGCCTGATTTAGGACCTGCCTTCTCATCTGTAAAATGAGGGCACTTGACAGGATGATCTCCAAGATCCTTCCACCTCAAAAATTCCCTAATATCATGGTGACTGCTATTTCAAGGATCAGGAAAAAAAAAAACTTTTCTCCCACCCTCAATACTATTTTCCTAAAAGCATCTACCACTTGGCGCCTCTGCCCCTTATCCAGTCGTCACTTTAAAAACATGGACTAAACCTCTCCTCCAAAAAAAACTACCTCATTTTAAGATTTCAAATTCCACTCCATCCAAGGGGAGTTAAGGAACAATCCTATAAGGCTGAGGAAAGGAGCCACTGTACCAACTTGGAAAGCCTTTCCAACCAAGAGTTACACAGCCATGACCGAAGGCCCAGTCTTCTCTCCCAAGTCCCCACACCCGAACCTCATAGTACAGGTCCCCGTGGATGGTCAGCTTTGGCTTGGTCTGCCACTTGAAGAAAGCATCGTGCAGTTTCTGGTAGTCAATGTCAATCTTCCCCATCTTGGGCCGAACCTTCTCTCGCATTTTGGACTTCATGGTCTTCTGTTCTTCCTGTGGGGAATTCCAGAAGACAGGTCATAAAAGGTATTCACCAAGTTTGGCTCTTCATAGATCTGGCTCCCCGCTCCCAAAAGAAATAAAGGGAGGGGCGCCTGGGTGGCTCAGTCAGCTAAGCACCTGCCTTAGGCCCAGGTCATGATCCCTGGGTCCTGGGATGGAGCCCCACATCGGGCTCCCTGCTCAGCAGGGAGTCTGCTTCTTCCTCCCCCTCCGCCCATCCCCCTCCACCTGTGCTCTGTCTCTTGCTTTCTCTCTCTCAAATAAATAAAATTTTTAAAAAAGAAAGAAAGAAAGAAAGAGAGGGAAACCTCATGTATCTCATTCCAGGAGTTACCAAAATCATTCCTGCTCAAACCCCTCAAAATTACACAACCCATGTTGAACAAAATAGATGTGTCATGTTAAATCATCTTCAGCTATACACTGATAAAATATTTTTCAAGCCATCTGATCAACAGACTGACCTCATTAGCTGCCTCTGGACAGAACTAGGTGACTGGAGTCTTAACTGGTAGGCAGTTTTCATCATGTACTTTTGCACCTCCCAAATTTTTTGCAGTACAAATACTATCTAATCAAAGCATTTAACTTAAAAATTTAAATCTAAGAAGTTACACAACCACCATGAATCTCTAGCCACAAAGTGCATCAGGCTCACACTGAGAACAGGGAACTGCAGACACAGCCAAAAGCCACCTGCAGGAAAAGGAGTCACCATGCGCAGATCAAAGAGCCCGCTAGATGCAGGCAGAGGAGGAATGAGGAGACAAGGGGGGAAACGGAGGAGCCACGCGGAATCAGAAGTCTCAGCATGGGGCAGGAGAGCTAGCTCTGAATATCAAGGCCAGGTCTGCCTTTCACAAGCTGATGTCTTTTCCTCCCACCCTTCCCGCCCTCTGTCATATGCAGTGCTGATTTCTGGAGAACAGATAATTAGACAGTTAACAAGTAGGTAGACTTTGGGAACCACATTCACGATTTTGAAATAGGCTATTAAAGATGTGGATCTGCGGGGCCGATCTGAACGCTGGCCAGTCCCTTACCTTCTCCTGCAGGGCCTCCCGCATCTCCTGGATGCCTGTGCGTTTGATGAAGTCTGGCAGCTCAAAGGGGGGCTTCTCAATGCCTCGTTTGCCCTGTAGGTACTTGCGCTTAAAACACCAGTGGCGTGGTACAGGCACAGAATTCCGCGTGGCCTTGAGGTGAACCAAGAGCTTGGGGTCCTGTGCGGTGACATCGTGCATCTCCACAACGTCAGGCCGAGCCACAAGCTGGAAAACACAGCAACGTGCCACTAGAAAGCCCTAACCTCTCAGGTCTGACTCTCTCTTTCTCGTCCTCAGAGGACACACGCCTAAGTCACCCAGGCCTCCTTCAAAGCCCTCCTCCCCACCCCAAAACAAAACCCCTATGCATTTTTACGAGCTTCTCATGCGGTCTCCCAGCCACGCTCTCGATCTGCTAGATCAGCTGGGGTCTCACCTGCTTGAGCTCAGCCACAGTGAAGCGATTCATTCGGCGCAACTTTTTCTTGGACAACTTGGGGGCTTCTGGCTTCTTTTCCTAGAACAAAACCATCATTTCTTTTGAGCAGGACTATCAGGTGTGACTCATACTGCCCGGCTCACCCTAAAGAGATTCTCCTTTGCAGGAGTTCACCATGGTCCCTGACTGGATGCATCTCAGCCATCTGTCCCGAGGCCCTACCTCCCCACCAGGAGCATGAGGGCCTCACCTGTTCGTCATCACTGCTATCGTCATCGCTGTCCTTGTGCTCCTCCTCAAAGCCCTTCTTCTTGGGGGCCGCAGAGTTCTCCAGTTTGTCAAGTTTCTCTGGCTCCTTCTCCTTCTCCTTCTTCACGTCATCAGTGAGCTGAGGAGGCAGACAATGTGGAAACCCAAGCCCTATGTCCCTCCTTAGTTCCTGAACCCAGCACTGAAAAGATGCCCTCCTTACCCTGTCTTTCCCCATCCCCGTCCCTTCCCTGCTCAGCTCTGCCCCTTCCCAATGCGGGGCTCCTTGTACCTTGAAAGCCTCAAAAATCCTCTTGAAGAAGATGAAGTTGGGTTCATAAATTTCAGGTTCTTCAGTCACATACTCAATTTCAACGTCAGCTGCTGGAGAGTCAGAGCCACGGGACCGGGCTGACTCTTTCTCTCGGTCCCCAGAGCTCTCAGATGACGCCCCCCGAACCCGCTGGGGCTTTTTCTTCTTCTTTCGGTTCCGACGCTTCCGGTTTTTCTTGCAAAAGAAGGAAAACCAACTGGGTCAGAGAATCCAAGCACCATGCCTGCCCCCTAATCTCCTCATCCAATTTCCCCAAGTGACGGAGGAAAGAGGCCTTGAAGTCAGACTCTAAAGTTCTGCTCCTCTCAAGCTGTATGCCTCTCAGTAAATTCCTGCACCTCTTAGAACCTAACTGTTTGCAGCTATAAAACGTAGGCACACACAGTACTCTGAACTCCAAGGATTTATGACAATTAAACACAAAATATTTGTAAGGTGCTTAGGACAGGAACTAGCACGAAATAGCAGCTATTATTTATCGAACACCTTGCACTGGTGTTACTTCAGTGCCCAAATACGGTCTCCAGACATTCCTTCCAGACTCAGCTCCATCCCATACCTCTTTCTTGGATACAGACACGGTGTCCTCCTCAGTCTCTGAAGCTGACTGGCCCAGTGACGAGCGAGTGTCTGTTTCCATTTCCTCTTCCTCTGCAAAGGAGAAAGGCGGCCATCAGTCCCCTCGCACTAGTACCCTGACACTCGCCCACAGTAACTCCTCTTTACCAAGGGCCAATTTCTCTCTCAAAGCCTCCTCAGGGGGAAAGGATGGAGGAATGCAGACTCAGCCTTGGCCTCTCCAGATTCTGCCCTGCAGCCCTCGGGACACAACACACTCACCCTGTTGAGAGTTCATCTCTTCCTGGCGGCTCTCCTTCAGCTGCAGAATCTTTTCCAAAGCCTGGGGGATCTTGGGTCCCACAGAGGGGTCATCCATCTGCCAGAGACAACCCAGACACAGGAAATGATCTAGGATTCCTACCTCTTAAACTAGAAAGACTGCCAGCCAAGTGATGTAAATAGCAGATAACAATACTAACTGGACCCAATCATCCCTCAGTACTCCTCAGAGTAAACCTCAAAACCCTGCCCCAGAAATGTCTCCCAAATCCTACTTCCTGCCCTACCTAAATATGCTTAACTAAATATGGCTCTCCCCCACCCCCCACCCCTGGAAGTCCTATCTCCTCTCAGAATCCTTCTCTAAAAATCCTCCTAAACCACATTCTCCTGTCCCTAGAAAGAAATCACCAATCTCACCTCTCTATTCTCATCTCCAGGGGGTGGTGGGGGACCACGAGGCCGGGGAACCGGGGCCCCCATGGGCAAAACAGTGGGAGTGGGGCCCACTGGAGCAGCAACTGTGAGAAGAAAGAAATCCAATGTCAGAAGAGACAAAACACGCATTTTACTTTTATTTATTTATTTTTTTTAAGATTTTATTTATTTGACAGAGAGAGACACAGCGAGAGAGAGAACACAAGCAGGGGGAGTGGGAGAGGGAGAAGCAGGTTTCCCGCAGCGCAGGGAGCCCAACGCAGGGCTCGATCCCAGGACCCTGGGATCACGACCTGAGCCGAAGGCAGACGCCCAACGACTGAGCCACCCAGGCGCCCCAAAACACGCATTTTAAAAATTACCTTCCTTGCTAAAGGTCAGTCACCCTTAGGGAGAGGGGGTTGGCTAGAAGGAAGCCTGGGAGAGCTTTTGAGGTATTAGTATCATTTTGGTTCTTGGTCCTGGTGCTGGTTTTATGAGTTGTTCAGTTTACGACAATTCATTGAACTGCACGCACTTTATAGGATACGTACTTACATTTAGGATTTTTCAAACACATTCTTTTCCCTTCCCTTCCATTTCCAGGGTCTTACCTCGAGGACCCAGAGGAGTACGAACACCAATCTGGCCCATGTCTTGTGGGGGCCGAGGCACTGGGGTGCCCATCTTGGCAATCTCCTGCTGCCGTTCCTGCTCCAGAAGCACAGCTGCCTACAAGAGAGAAGTGAGAGTGAAGACACAGCTTGGAAATCCATTGGGCAGGCAGCCTCTGGCAAATGCAGGCTTTTAGCCAATAGGCCCAAGGAGAACAATCAGGTACCACTCGAGTTCACACATCCTCACCACCCCCACCCTTCCAGGCTACTGATCCAAATGGAGGAGGCCTCTCATCACAAAAGAAAATCCCTGGAAATAACACCAAAAAACCCCCGGGAAACTCCTGGTTTCTACCACAGAATTTAACATTTAGCTACACACAGTCTTCTATTTTTTTTTTTAAAGATTTATTTATTTATTTGAGAGAGCGAGAATGAGAGAGAGAGAGTACATGAGAGGGGGTAGGGCTAGAGGGAGAAGCAGGCTCCTTGCCGAGCAGGGAGCCCGATGCGGGACTCGATCCAGGGACTCCAGGATCATGACCTGAGCCAAAGGCAGTCGCTTAACCAACTGAGCCACCCAGGTGCCCCACAGTCTTCTATTTTTTAACAAGAGTTTTCTTCCCCAAGAGGGAAGAATTTCTAAGGAACAATGAATTCTTTTCTTACATCTGCTCCTCAAGATCTAGCACAATCTAGGGGCGCCTGGGTGGCTCAGTCGTTAAGCGTCTGCCTTCGGCTCAGGTCATGATCCCAGGATCCTGGGATCGAGCCCCACGTCGGACTCCCTGCTCAGCGGGCAGCCTGCTTCTCTCTCCCCCACTCCCCCTGCTTGTGTTCCCTCTCTCGCTATGTCTCTCTCTGTCAAATAAATAAATAAAATCTTTAAAGAAAAAAAAAAAAAGATCTAGCACAATCTAAGCAAAAATAGCACTTCATAAATAATTTCATATCTATTCCTGTTAATGCTTACTTTCTAATACTCCCGGTAACGCTCTAGGGAACAACTGATAGCACACCCCTCTGGGACTGAATGTTTTCTGTATCATTCTCTAACTACATCTACCACGTTTAGTCTAAATATAACACAATTGACTAAATGAATCCAGGGTCCTCTTGTAGGTACCTAAAACAACATCACAAGAGTCTAACAGGAATCACCAAACTTTTTCTGTAATAGGCTAAACAATAAATATCTTAGACTTTATGGGCCGTTGCAAGGGCTGTAGTATGTTCTTGGTTTGCTGATTTTCTTAACAATCCTCTAAAGATAGAAAAACCATTCTTAACTTGCAGGCCATAGAAAATCAGGTCACAGTCTGCAGTTTACCAATCCCTGGGCTCCAGAAAAGATGGGATTATTTGGAAGATACTGGAACTTAAGGATAAGGTAACCTCCACAGAAAATTTGCATGGTGCATCTTGTTTTGGACACTAAGCATTAGAAATGACAGCCAATGGACTGGACCATCAGGCCAAAGGTTGGGGGACATTACCCGCTTCTGCTGCTCCAAGAGCTCATGTTCCTTCAGTGAATGATCTCCCTGCTTAAAAAAGAAAACAAGCTCACATCAGCACCACCATCCCTCAGGCCAGGCTGTCACAACTCTGCTTCCTGGGGTCCTCTTCCAGCTGAGGGTCTATGTTCTAGTCTTTGGTCCAGACCCTCCCAGAAGGCTCAGCCCCAGGATCTAGCTCTCTCTGAGGCTCCACTTCCCCTTTAGGACCCTGATGAGACCCACACCAAAGCTGCCATCTGCCCTACCTGCTTGGCACGCTCCTCTTGCTGCATCAGCAATGCTGCCTGCTGCTGCGCCAGCTTCAGCCGCTCCTCCTCTGACAGAGCCACAGGCTCACCCACCCGGAGAGGAGGTGGTGGCCCCAAGTTTGGTGGGCGGGGCCCAACTGCCATAGGAAAGCCAAGGCCAAGGCCTGGTGGAGGTGGTGGGGGTGGTGGAGGAGGCTGCAGAGGGGGGAGTCCCATGGGTGGTGGTGGCATGGGAATCCCAGAAAGCTGTGGAAAAAAATGTGAACATAAACTAGGAAACGTTTACCTACTGCAGACATTTGCTGGGGATCTACTATGAGCCAGGTGCTAGAATTAAAAGTCAAATGACAAATAATTCCTGAATGCAAGAAAAGAATACTCTATAGCAATACCGATAGAAAAAGATGCTAACTTTGGGGCACCAACCAAGGAAAGCTATCGACTCTCTCCCCAGAAAACCATGAATGCAGGTTTTGCATACAATTTCAGGAAATTGGAGGACACCTCTAAAGGCCGCCTGGGAACTCCTCATTCAACACACAGAAGTCAACAGTTCCCAGGTCAGAGCCATTGTCCTAGAGAAAAATTCAAATCCTGGCTCAGAAAGGACATGAAAGTTGAGAAGGCTTAAATAAACTGGAGCCAGTGTGTCCCAATGACTCACTAAATGTAAAGGCTATGAAATCAAATCAAGGAATGAGCCTTAATGTCTCACTGAACAAAATGGAAACTGTGCCCTGGGAAGGCAAAAAGAGTTCTTTCCAGCTGAAGGAGAATCAAGTCAGGCTTCCAGATCATTTAAGCCGAACCTTGAATGACAGGTAGAATTTGGAGAAGCAGACACTGGGTAAGGTGATAAGGATCAGGATCAAGGGAGATCTGAAGAGCTGCCATTACTCCCTGTCCAATCTGTTAGTTGCAACCCCAATACACTGAATGTGAGAGGAGCTACCCTGAACAGAAAGCATCGTATAAAGTGGAACAACCTCCTTACCTGTGCCGACATGGGAGGGGGAGCAGCTTTGTCCCCATCTTCACCTCTCAGAACTGGCCGATTCAGCACGATGCCCGTCTGCAGAACAGAAAGGACTCCAGGTCAGTCCAAGAAGAGCTGTTCCACGAAACGACATTCACTCCCATTCATTCAACAAAATTTACCCAGTGCCTGTCTGCCGGAGCTTGAGCTAGGCACCGGAGAGAACCGACATATATAGAAACGATTACAACTGGTCAGGTAATGGCAAAAACCAGCAGAAACAGCAAACCCCTGCTTGCTGTGTAGAACTAAGACCGAGTGGTGAGGGGTCACGAAGGCCTTCTCCAGACACTCGGCCTCCCCTGATGTCCCGCCACCAACACTCACCTGGCGGGTGTAGGTCTGTAGCCGCTCCACCAGCTCCTCGCGACTCCCTGCTGGTCAAAGCACAGGATCAATGGGGTAGGTCAGGGCGAGCAGGCCAGAGGGACCAAGTCAGGCCCCAGTGGTCCGCCTCCGCCCCTCCCCCCGCCCCCGGGTCTCCGGGGTAACCAGGCTCCGCTTCTCCCTTAGGCCTACGCTGCCCCGGCTCTTGACCTCCCGAGTTCCTCACCCTGGATCGGAGCTCCGATCTCTGCCAATTTGGCCTGAAGCTCCTGGGCAGCCCAAGCGCCATAGTGCCCAGGAGGTGGCGGCGGCGGCAGCTGCAACTCTCCTTTGGGAGGCTCGGGATGCTCGGCCGCCATCTTAGCCGCAGGAAGGCGCGCGACCAACGCGGAAGTTCGAGCCAGACCTGGGGCCCACTTCCCGGAACTTCCGGCAGCGCCGTACGCCACGTCCGCTGGAGGATTGACAGGCCGTTCGCATTGAGGCCCAGCCCCTGCGGATCTCCAAGGGTCCCCCGGCGGCCTGGCAGCGAGGCCTTCTGGGAGTTGTAGTACGCAGGTCCGGTTCTCCGCGGGTTCGACTCCGTGAGGACTGCGCCCGACTGAAGCACCGGGAACACTGGGAGCGGGAGCGGGGGCGGGGCTGCGGGGAAAGATGGTCCCTCCCGAAAGGCGTGCTTTCCGCGTCTGACCTGCCGGAGCGCAGATCTCCAGCCTTCCGACCCGACTTCCAGCTCAGGCGTTAGAGGCCGGGACGCTTACGTTCCTCAGGGAGTCCTGAAGGACTCATTCCGCCGGCGGCCGCGCGTTGCGGGCGCCAAGCGGGAGGTTGCAGCCGATGCCTGTGATAAAACAGTATCTGATTGTCTGCCCGCCCACCCCCGGCCCACGCATGGATGAATGGGCTGAAAGAGGATCGGAGCCGCAGAGGAGCGGGCTGAGCTCCAGCTGCCGACCTGGGGGAAGGGCCACACTTAAGCCCCTTTTTCACCTATCAGGCCGGCTCAAATGTCTCTACTAGGCTTTCTCCCGCTTTCCTTTCCTTCCGTGAAGCTCCCATAACATGTACAAGCATCTACCATTTGTTTAAAGTCTTTCTTGCTCCTTTGCCCCACCTCCTCCCCAAGAACGTGAGCAGAGACCTGGTCTTTTTACTGTCTGGCAGCACCTGGCGTTCAAGTGGCGCTCAGTAATGATTAATGGGGGAAAAAACACACAAACAAACGAAACGGTCTTGCGGGCGACAGGATTTGCATCTTTTTTAGTCTCGAAAATGAGCTCAAGACTTTTTCTCCCCTCGTCCCCACCAGCCTACTGGCGGAGTCGACGCTGCCTCCCTTGCCCCACCACCACCACCAGCAGCCGCCTGTGCGCCTGAGGGAGGGATGAGCAGATGCCCCCTGCCTGTCCAGCTTCCACCTCTCCCTATCCTGACCCGTCAATTCCGTGTCTCTCCCCACCTCCGCCACTAGCTCTGAGATCCCCTTCCCATTCCAGCCCCCTGCCCTCTCACTGACAGGCTCACTGCGTGTGTGTGTGTGTGTGTGTGTGTGTGTGTGTGTGTGGTGTGAGAGAGCTGGTAGAGTCTCATTTTCCCCACACACCCACACCCTTCCTATCTTCTTTACAGCATGCTCCATTTCACTGACTGCCTCCCAAAGAGAAGTAGCTGAGAGCAGGGGAAAAAACAATGGGGTGCCAGGTTTAGGAGAAACAGAAAAGGACTGTGCCAGGAAGGTTGCTCACAATCTAGCCCTAGCTAGGAAATTCTCTTTCCTCCTGCCCAAGACTGGATCCTTCCTCTTTCCATCACCACCACCATCCCAGGCTCCAGATACTCCCAAAGGAGTGGCCAAACCCAGAAAGGACAGAAGAAATAACAGTGGTGCTCTCCCCTCCAGCTTGTGAGCACACACAGGAAGAACCATTCCTGACCCAAAGGAACACCTTTCTGCTCCCTGTAACTGGAGAGCTGCTGGCAGGGCATCTGAGGCTGCAGGGCCGTAGGCATGTGTATGTGCTGGGGAAGGTGATAGGGGTCGCTGAGGCAAGATAAACTAAAGTCTGATGGGTGAGGAGGTAATGTAGCTAGGGCCAGAAAGGGACAAGTGCGGCCTCATCATAAGAGCCCTGGGACCCAGGCAGGGCAGGACCTCCCATTGTGCAGAGGGGAAACAGGGGCAGAGAGAAGTTGACATTCCCAAGAGGCGAAACTGGGACCACAGGCAGTTCTCCTGACTCCAAGTCCCCATTCCATTCTACCTCTTAACAAGGATCCTCACACAATAGCTACCTGTGTGGGGCTAGAATGGAATCCAATCCCCTCCAGTCCTGGTTTGGGCGGCTGTCCCAGCTCCTTGCCATACTAGGCCAAAAGGGGAGGAGAAAGCAGGGGTCCGTGAGAACCAATGAACTACATGTGGGGCTGTTGGTGTCTGGCATTATTTTGGGAGGTACTGCTGCCCGGCTCCCAGGGGGTAGGAGCTAAGGCCTAAGAAGGCAGAAAATTCAGGACCACCCCCCCCCCAACACACACACACAGGCACAACTCCATGGGAGTTTACACAGAGCCTTCCCATGTATCATCTCTGCAGTCTTGAGCAGCTCCAAGAACAGCTCGCTATTGGAGAGCTGAAAGTATCCAGGCCCAGGGAATTGGCTCTTGACGCTCGGACTTAAGTTCAACAAGGGTTGAACTTGGGTTCTCTGATTCCCAATACAAAGTGCTAAAGCTCTGGTCAGGAGTGAGTGGGTCTGGAGTCCAGCTGGAGAGTAGGAGTGGGTCAGCAGCAGGGGCTGGAAGGAAAGGGTCCCCAGGAGTGCGAGGGCAGATGGGACCAGACCTCAGGCTGGAGCTGTGCTTCTCTACTGGAGGTGGACAGAGGAGAAGGAGAGGAGGGAGGAAGCATGTGGGTGCTTGTAGAGGTACCTGTGTCTCTAACTCCCCCAGGACCCACCAGCCCAAGGTTGGCCTGTGGAGCCCGGAATGCCCAGCAATGCCAGAGTATCCAGATACCTTATGGGCCTCAGTTTCCCCTTCTGTGGAGTGAGAGCAAGGAGCTGACGACATTGGTGTCCAGTCTCTGCAAGGTTGCCAGACGATGCCCGCATCCGAAGACGCCACCCGGAGATTGTCCCTGGGCAGCCCGAGAGTCAGAGCTGCCCCCTCCCCTTCCCCTCCCCCTCCACGGCACTGCTGCCGGGCCCCCGCCCCCGCCCCGCCTCCGGTGTGCGATGGGGGGCGGGCGGCGGGCAGAGCGGAGAGGATCGGAGCCGCCACCTGATCCCATCCAGGCGCGGAGAGGCGAGCGAACCGGCACTCGGCGCTCAGGGCCCCCGGCGCCCTCCGATCCGCATTGGATTTCGGGACAAGGGTTGGGAGATAGCGGCGACCACCCCCCACCCGGGTCGGAGGCAGAGCCCGCGGCGTGAGTACTGACTGCAGTGGCCGGCCTGGGGCTGGGGGACGGAGGTGGACCGGACCGGGACTGAGATCGGAGATCGAGGGTGGGCGAGAGAGTGTCGTGGGGGCCTAGTGCCTGGAGAGCATTGGCGGGGGGTGGGGGTGGGGGGAACGTTCTGCCCCCTGGAGAGCGAGGGAGGCCCGGGGTGAGAGGGGGAATCTGGCTTATCCCCTATGGTGAGCAGATCTTGGTGACGGGATCTCTAGGGTAGGTGGGGATGAAATTGAAGGAATGGGGGCTGGAGGGGCGGTAGTGATGGAGAGAGGAGGATGAAGGGAATTCGGAGACAGGGATGACGTGGGGGTGGATGGCAGGGAGAGGGGGCTGGGGGGACCTGGCAGCAGGCTGGGAGGAAAAAGGAAGAAAAAGAGAGAGGTGGAAAGATACATGATCTCCTGCGCCACTTACTTGCAACCCCCTGAGCCCTTGGCCCCTTCCTTTCTAGTGCCCTGGGCAGTTTCCCTCCCTACTCATTGGGCTGTGCCATCCTCAAGTAAGGATGGAGTCTCCAGGTCATCCAATGGTCAGGTCCGGTGGTCCAGGCCAGGACACCCTCCTCCTCTAAAAGCACCTATATTGGCCCTAGGGCTGGGATGGAGAGAGAAAAGGGCTCATTTGGGAGTGGGTGGGTGTCCAGGCCAGTTTTCAAAGCTCTGGCTAGCTAGACCATTTTTTTTCTTTGGTTCCCTGGAGAAAGGAAAGCAATTTGCAAAACCAGGCAGCAGCCTGAGGTAAATTGTTCTGACTAAAATTAGCACTGATATTCTGATGAGGCTGGGCATCCTGACCTGTCTGGGACAGCTGAGGAAAACTCTCTCCATGGAGAAGAGACAGGGGAAGCAGGGGAGTAGTTTGAAGCATGCGATCGGCCGGAGCCGGGGGGCCAGGAGACCACCACCCACCCCACGGCATCCTAGAGATGACAGAGGTTAAATCCAGTCCCAGCCAGCCCCGTTCCCCAGATGCCAGTGCTCGGACTCCAGCTCCAGAGGAGCCATCATGGAGAGAACTTGCCAAGGGAAGGGAGGCCTCCTCCAGTGTCCAAGCAGCACCCTCTCTCAAGACCTGGAATGTTTAGCCTGGCTGAATGCCCACCCAGAGGAGACAAGGTTACTGTTTTCAAATACCTGAAGGTCTGTCATGGAGAAAAATGACCCGTGTGGTCTAGGAGTGCAGCACTAGCAATCATGTGGAGTGGAAGGTGCAAGGGGACAAGCTGAGGAGGGCACTAACAGCGGCAGGCTGATCCCAGCTGTGCCAGACACAACTTTTGCACAGCTTGAGGCTGCTCAGAAATGGACCAGGCTGTATCTGAAGGTGGTGAGCATCCCGTCACTGATGGTGGCCAAGCAGAAACTGGTGCCCACCTCTGAGGGCTGGTGTCCAGGGAGTTCTTGTGCTGATGATTCCCTATTCCAAGGGGGCCTCAGACTGGAGTCTGGCTGGCCGGGTCCCCAGAGCTAAGACATGGAGGGGAGTGGGATGGAGAGGACCACCAAGCACTCTGTCGTCCTTCTCTATGCGGCCTGGTTGAAGCATTCTCCAAGCAAAGTCCCAGTGTAGCTCCCTCCAGGCTTGACCTCCTTGGGTGACCCAGAGTCCACTGAAAATAGGGTAGTTTTAGCGAGTTTAGCACAGATGAGAATAGGTTGCCCCCCCCCACTCTGCCCCCTTGAAAACTCCCATCTTGTCACCAAATCCTCAAGGCAGGATGAGTGGCAGAGGCCACAGGCTCTGACTTCCTCTTGTAGGCTTCCTTGCTCAGGCAAAGCCAGCCCTTCTCTGCCCCTATCAATTCTTGAAAACACAGCAGGGCCTTAGGCTTTCTCTGCTATGCCCTTGGTTAACCCTCTGTGGCTGTACCCTTTACCTCCCTCGGCTCCAGGCAGATTAAGTCTGTCTGCAGGCTGGTGGAGGAAACCAGGTGATGGGGCCTGGAGAGAAAGGAAAGGCATAACCAGGACATCTTTCTACCCAAACAGGTTTAAATGTAATCCAGGATTAATGAGGGGCCGGGGGAGGTAGCGGTAAAGAAGAGGGACTGGAAACCAAGCTTCAAGCCCCAGGGGAAAGTGATGGTCAAAAGTTTTTACATTACCTCATCCCTCCTGGGACCCAGGTGTCCTAGTTCCAAGTATGTGCAAATGCCCACAGGGTTCCAGGCTCCCTCTCCCCTTTCAAGACATGTGTATGTGAGGCTGAAGCTGAACCCAGACCTGGAGACCGAGGCCTCTGAGACAGGGACCCTACAACAGTGGGGAGACAGGCATTGCTGCTGAAACTGACTTTCCATAGCACTGCCAAAGGCCAGGCTGCCCTTGAGCCAAGGCATTCACATGGGGACAGGTGACTGGCCGGAAA